CAAGGGACATAACATCTTTCAGTGAAACATATCAGTGTGAAAACAACATTTAAGCCTCACAAATCATGTTAAACTCTTTCCATCAGCTAAGTGTAGCTTTTCTTAAACATTAGTTTACGCACGGCATATAAACATTGTGTTTAAAGAAACATGACTACTGAGACCATTTTACATCATTTAAATATCATCTCACTTGAGCAGGTGAACCAGGACCAAACCAGGCTGGTACCTGCTGGTTACTGAGGGCCACTCCACACTGCAGCTGTCTGCACACCACATGAGCATCTTTAATATCCCAGGAGTCATCACACACTGTCCCCCATGAGCCGCTGTGAAAAACCTCCAGCCTCCCTGCACAGTCTCCCCCAGAACCCACCAGCCTGATGGACCCGCGACCTGATATTCAGAGAAAGAAAAACACATTATTGACCACGAACAACTGAAGAATCTGTCCAGATGTTGTTTTTCTCACCAAGGCAGGTGATTGACAGCTGTTGTGTGGAGCTGCAGTTGAGAGTTTGTGGAGGGCTACAGTTCCCCAGATGAGCTTCACTCCCAGAGCACTGGAAGCCCGTCACACACTCATGACTGTGTTCAGGACTGGATGAAGAGGAGCCATAGAAGTTCAGCACAGAGCCACAGCCCAGCTGTCTGCAGACCACAGAGGATTCAGTGAGACTCCAGGAGTCCAGCAGAACTCTCCTCCAGACCCGATGAATGAACACTTCCACCTCCCCCTCACACTGTCTCTCTCCAGATAACCGCACCAGACCATCATGGAGAGCCAGAGAGGAATCTGAGTGAAAGATGTGACATTTTACTAAAATACTGCAAATGTGTTAATGACCACAGAGGAACATTTATATAATAAGTATGCTTTATATCAATATTATACTTTATATAAGTAAATTCGAAACTTAAATGACACAAGCATAAATCATCATTCTGAAATGCATAGGGAATAAATATTGTATTTTGAATAAAGTTTCCATTAGCATAATGTCAGTCAGGGCCATCGGTAATGGGGTGAAAGGTGGTGACGATTTTAGGGGCCCATAGCTGGGGGAGGTCTCAACCGATTGGCTGAGGCCAGCCTAAGAAGACGCTCAGGAAAGTTTACTGGCCACTGCTGCGCATGGTCAGGAAAGCTTATTATTTGCACGTGTTTTTAAGCCTTGCCAATTTAAACATTCAAAAGAGTTTTAAAGCATTCAAACACAAGACGCGGAAAACTCAACTGACTACTCGCGCGCGGTGTTAAGAGAACGCAGAGAGCCGCCTCACGGACAGCAACACCGAAACGAGCTCTCTTTCGCGTACTCCTGCACCTGAACGAACAAATACAAAATGAAAGAGCCCAATTCAGCACACGCGCGCGGTGTTCTGTGCGCACGCAGAGAGACGCGTCTCAACCCGCTTGAACACCGAATGTGCCTCTTCTTGCTCTTGTACAAACAACAAATACATACACAATTATATCAAAATACCCGTCTTGGAGAGTATCCTCGAAAAAACTGTAGGTTATGTCTAAAGTGAAAGTAAACAGTGGAGAAGAAATCGGATGTATATCATTAGAATGGGTGCATTGTCTCTTAAAGTGACCGCGCCTAATCTACAAACTGCAGTCGGTGTCCTTAATGTTAATCCAAGAAAATGGAAGAAAGAAAATCACTCACTGCTCTTGACTGAATTACTTTGTTGTTTTCACAAGAATTAATCCACAGTCAAACCAAGAATTATTCAGACACCAGATATAATTTTTGATTTTTTTTCTATGGGTGCAGGACACTACAGGCTAGATCATTTATGTAAGTGAGTATAAATAAAGTAAACTGTGACATATTATACCTAAAAATTCTTCATACAGTGGACTACCAGTAACATTTATAAAAAAAAAAAATTGGGACCAAAAATTATTCAGACACTTTGACCTGACCATGTTTTGCTTAAGTGTTTTTTCTTTAATAGCTAAAGACTGAACAAAATTAAGTTGCTTGGTAATTGGTCAACAAAGTATTTGTCACGTCCAAGGACTGTTCTGTGTGTTTTGTTTTGTGCTCCTGAAGTTGTTCCTATTTTTGGATTATTATTAAAGATTGTTGAAGTTTATTCTACGTCTCCTCGTTCCCTCGCTCCAGTAAATTGTGACAGTATTGATAGTTGTGTAAATATTGTCATGCTAACAGTTGTCTGAATTTTTGGTTGATTGTAATCCATTACATACCTTTCTATCAAAGTTATCTGACATTATCAAGCTGAATTTGTTCTGACACAGTTTAACTCGGAGTTCTTGTCATATTTTATTACCATTTTCTAAACTATAGCAAATAAACTGTGATAATGTGAGAAATGTTGAAGGTGTCTGAATAAATTTTGGTTTGACTGTATATTTAATATTTACAGTGAAGACTATGCAGTGCTATTTTACATTTGATTATTCGGTTTCTGTACCTGGACACCTACAATCTTGAAAAAACGTAAACATTGTGTAAATAGCACAAATAAATAAATAGAACGAACATACAAATTAAACAATTTCAAACAGGGCCCACTGGTACAACCTGCACTGGGGCCCCGCAAACCCCAGCTACCGCCCTTATGTCAGTAAATGTTACAGTAATATGGACTCACTAGAGCAGATGACTCCAACATCTCGACTATGAGAACATTCAGCTCGACTCCATGAAGAGATGGAACATTCTGAGAGTTTTGTTTCATTCCCGTCACAATCAAACACATCAGCCCAGATTTCACCACTTCCCTCTCCAAACCAGTCTGATCCCACAACAGACACAGCAATCCCACAATTCAGCTGTCTACAGAGGACACTGGCAGCTCTCATATCCCAGCATGCATCACACACTGTTCCCCATTTACTGAGGAACTGAAGCTCCGCTCTTCCAGAACAAGAGTCTGAACCGTTCACCAGCCTGAGATCAGTGTAACCTGGAGAAAGAACACAGAGCTTATCTGTTATTCTCATGTTCTTAGTTCTGTTTAATACAGTCACTCGAGGCTTATAATGATGGTACTGATCAACCAATTAAATTTTAGTATATTTAACAATTGGATTTGTTAAATAAACAGGTTAAACATTTTACCGGAACATATCAGTCCAACATCATTTTCATGGGTGCAGTTTATTTTATGTGAGGTTGATGATGGACAGCGTTGAATGTGTGATTCGTCTCCTCTGCACTGAATCTCTTGTGTCCACATCTGAGTGTCTCCTTTACCAAAAGCAGCTGCTCCCAGCACCTGTACAGGAGCCCCACAGTCCAGCTCTCTACACACAACCTCTGCATCCTGCTGGTCAAAGGCAGCG